AAGAAGTATGTACTACACCAAATTTTTCATTGATGATAGTTCTTATCAAATTAACATGTTGAATCATTTCTATATGAAAAGCATATAGTAGTAGATAGTAGACACATATTTGTCCACTATTTTTTTGATTCCCTGATTGACTTAAAGGTTCTGCTATATCTTTTTGTTTTTCTAGAGAACATAATACTTAGTTTCCACAAAAGTGCATGATAACTAGTAGTATTATTATTCTATTTGATATATCATTTTTTCTTAATGTTCTGGTCATATCACTTTCATCTTGAAGTAAGTTTATTGCAACAAAGACCACATATAAATTTTCAATATTATTTTGTATTTTCATATATCTGTTTGACACTAAATACTTAGCTGATTTGAGTAAATAAAAATTTATTGTTGAGAATTATATCCAAATGACATTATGAAGAGTTTAACTCAAGAGGTAAGTATTTCCTTCGTATTTAAAATTATTTTTGTCCTTTGCTATTAATGATATCAACTTCAATGAGTTCAAGTCGCAATGCACCATGAGGGTAAGACATCAGGATCAAGTCCTGATGCTTCATGATGATAAGAGTTGGGTTTAAGTCCCAATTCATTATGGCCTAACATGCCTTTATATTGGTAAGACATTGGGTTTGAGTCCCAATATACCATATTGATGATATAATGATAACTAAAAAATATATATATATTTTTCATGAAAAATCATGAATATTGTCCAACTTGATTTGCTTCATTCTTGAAGTGAATGTGGTAGCAACGCATAATAAGTCTAAATGAAGACAAGTGGTTGAACAATGAGCGTGGTCAAAATAATAATAATCATCACTATGATTATAAAAGGAGAACAATAAAGGTTCTCAAAACAGTCCTTCAAAATGTGAAGGCAATGTTTACCATCAAATTGGTATGAAAAATAATAAAGCATGCCGCTGATTATGATCCATTCCTTGAAGAAAATGTGACTTGTGATAAGCATTGAAAATGAAGATCCATTCCTAAATGTGAATGTGGCAATATGTGACAAAAGTAATGAATAAATACATGTAATGCATGATTAGATGAATATCACACAACTCACCTCTAAGGGAGGTTTGAGTGAAATAAAGAGAATAAATATTATTATGTGGTTACATGAATATGTCATTGGTCGCGTACATGTCATACGCCCAAAAAAAAGATATTTTGTTGTGCCTTATAAAAGGTTATTAAAGGCAAAATTAAAGCAAGAAATGATTTTTCTTATGATAATTTTGACCATGACAATTTATTATGATATAATTTTCTCCGTAAAGGAAACATTTACCATATGAATGGTGTAATAAAAGATCTTGTAGTACAAAAGTTGTTAAGAGCTCCAAAAAATTAATTTGTTAATACCCGAATAAATAAAATTATTCACGGCATTGATACTGTAAAGTCTCAAAAGAAACTTTTTTGAGTTTCAAATGTATAAGTCAAAGTGGTTGGCATATTGAGACTATAAATTAAAGGAATATTGAATATCTTCATATTTCTATAATCATAACGGGTAAATATGAAAGGTTACCCGATTTTCTTTCTATTTGTACTACACAAATATAAGCATGATGATGGAATCATATGTCACAAGTAAACTAGAGGTTTACTGAAACAAATATTAGTTGGCATGACCGGTTGACCATCTCAGTTCGATTATGATGCAAAAAATTAATTGAGAATTACATTGGCATATATTGCAGAAATAGAAGATTCTTCAATAATTACCTTGTGATGCTTACTCTCATGATATACCAGTTAAGGTTGGGATTGAATCCCTTGATTTTTGGAATAAATAAAAGGTGATAAATATATTGGCCCAGTCACCTGCCATGTGGACCGTTTACTATTATATGATTTTAATAGATGCATCTATTCTATGGTCACATGTGCATTTGTTATCAATTTGCAGTTTGGCTTTTGCAAGATTGATTGCACAAATTATTAGAGCACAGTTCCAGAATATAAATTATGATGATTTGTCTTGATAATACTCGTTTAAATCCAAGTTGGTTTAGCATAAATTATATGCCTCCAATTATATCTAAACCATTAGTTTGAGAATAAAACTGCCAAAATAAAATTTGGTATATGATGTATTATTTAATATACAACAGCACGTGTACGAATCTAGCCAAGTTATGATAAGTTCTCCCTATCACAATCGGTTCAAGGTCAGGAACCAAATAATTTCCATCCAGAAATATGAATGTGCTATATGATTTAATTATTCCACCACAATGCACAAAGATGGATTCCCAAATAAGGCTAGGGATATTTGTTGATGATCCCAACAGTATGGGGAAAAATGGGCAGCTGAAAAAGTAATGCATGTAATGAATTATTATGAGTACATCTAAATACTCGTACGAGAAAATATGAACTTGAAGTTCAAGTGATAATTCATTTACAAAATATTGCTAGGCGTATTTGCTGACCCAAAACTAAATGTCATATTCAGCTGCTAATGCTCTAAATAAAATAAAGTTCATAATGAATAGAGTCTACGGCATGCATGAAGCATAATAGACTAATCGGTTCCAAAGATAAAACTCCTTGAATAAGGAGAAGAGCAAATGTTCAAGATGGTCATAATAAGGAGGCAAGTGCTCTAGAAGAGCACCACGACATAACACTTCATAAGACCTCATGGGAGAGGCTCAGGTACCTGAAAATAATAAGATAAAGAGATCTCAATAAGTTATGTCTTTATTGGGTAATAGTAAAATCGATATAAAATGATTGTCGACGATATTGTTAATATAATGTAGCGCTCAATATTATTAATATTAACGAGAATCCTGAGCTCAAATCTGTCATGAAATTTGGACAGATAAATGATTGGCCAACTGAAAAATATGCAATGAAAATTGATTTCACCTAAAAAATATGAAGTTGGACGGATAGTCCCAACACTTGGAAGTATAAAGCCAGTGGAGGTATAAATATGTTCTTGAGCGAAACAAGGTCAAGTCGATAAACATAAAGACGACTTGTGTCACAAGAAGATTTGTAAATATCCTGGTATTGATTATATAGATACATGTTCTCCTGTGGTGGATGTAGTCATTTCAGGTTTTAATCTGGCAATACAAGAAAAATGTGATATGCGTATAACGGAAATCATTGAATGATTTAAATTGTTATGAAACATATTAAGGTTTCCAAGAAATTTATTAAATAAAGCTTCAAAAAATCCCTATACGGATTGAGACAATCAAGGCACGTGTTGTATAAACGCCTGAGTGAGTACCTGTTAGAAGAAGGGTACAAGAATGATTCAATTTGTCCCTGTGTCTTTATAAAAAGATTTTGATCTAAATTTGTTATAATCGCCATGTATGTTGATGATTTAAATATCATTGGAACTCCTAGGGAGCTTCCTAAAAGCAGTAGACTATTTAAAGAAAGAATTTGAAATGAAAGATCTTGGAAAGATAATTTTGTCTTGGTCTACAAATTGAGTATATGAAAGATGGAATTTTTGTCCATCAATCAGCATACACTAAAAAGATTTTAAAGCGATTCTATATGGATAAAGCATATCCATCGAGTATCCAGATAGTTGTGAGATCACTCAATATAAATAAAGATTCATTCCGACCTCATGAAAATAATGAAGAGCTTCTTAGTCCCGAAGTACCATATCTTAGTGCAACTGGTGCACTAATGTATCTTTCTAACATTACAAGGTCTAACATAACTTTTTCAGTTAATATCTTAACAAGATATAGCTTCTCTCCTATAAAGAGACATTGAAATAGAATCAAACACATATTGTGGTATTTAAAAGGAACTACCGATATGAGATTATTTTATGACAATGATTGCAGTCCCGATCTTGTTGGTTATGCAGATGCTGAGTATTTATCTGACCCACACAAAGGCTCGATCTCAATCATGCTATGTGTTTACATATGAAGGCACTGCCATATCTTGGCGATCGACTAAGCAATCAATCGTGGCTACTTCATTTAATCATGCTGAGATAATTGCTATTCATGAAGTAAGTTGAGAATGTGTATGGTTGAGGTCTATAATACACCTTATTTGAGACAAATATGGTTTGAAGTGTGACAAGTTACCCACAATTTTGTATGAAGGCAATGCAACATGCATAGCCAATTGAAGGGAGGATCCATAAAAAGGGATAGGACAAAGCACATTTCACAAAAGTTATTTTTCACACATGATCTTCAAAAGAATGGCGATATCAACGTGCAACAGATCCGTTCAAGTGATAATAAGGATGATTTGTTCAACAAATCTCTACCGACGTCAACCTTCAAGAAATTAGTGTACAAGATTGGGATGCGAAGGCTCAGGGATGTGAATTGATGCTCTCATCGGAGGGAGTTAATACGCGTTGTACTCTTTTTTTCTTACAAGGTTTTGTCCCACTAGGTTTTCCTTTCAAGGTTTTTAACGAGGCAACCAAGAGGCGTATTTTTAAATATGTGTACTCTTTTTCCTTCACTGAGATTTTTTTCCCATGGGGTTTTTTCCTAATAAGGTTTTAATGGGGCATATTATCTATGAACATCCAAGAGGGGAGTGTTATAAGAAAAATCAAATTATGGTGGATGTCTACTCTTTCTCCGTGATCTTCTCAAATGCTTAATGACATATTTTTCTTTACTTTTCATACCTATATAAAGGTTTTGTAATAGATAGGAAAATACATATAATTGAAAAAGAAATAAGAATTTCTCATCTCTTTCTCTCTATACATCTTAGCTTGTTTTTTCTTGTTCTATATTGTTACTTTGAGCTATATTTTATAACATTGATATTCTTTTTGTTTGCCAAAAAATGAGCTTTTTTTAGTTCGCATCAAACATTTGTAAATTCTTATTGTTCAATTTATTGTGAACAATGAAAAAAGAAATAATTTAATAGGAACTCACGTTTGAAGGTGCAGTTTTATATTTTATTTTTTTCTGTCTTCTTCTAGTTCTAGTTTATGGTGCCATTTTTAGGTGCAAATTCTGTTATTTTTGGTAATATGTTTTTGGTGTCTGATGCAGTGTTTAGTATCGTATATTTTAGGAGTTAATAATGAAACTCTCCTAGTATTTTTGATTAATTTTCTTAAATAATTCTCATTAAATTTTATTGTCAAAACTTATTAACTAAAAACAAAAAAACGCTCTCTTTGACAAATTTAAAAGATGAAAACTACTCGGGGTTATATTTCAGATATTATTTTAAACATACTCCAATAATTTTCATTAAGTTTAACTGTCAAAATTTATTAAATAAAAACAATAAACGCACTATTTGAAAAATTTTAAAGGATGAAAAATACTCGAATTTATATTTAAGAGATTATTTTAAATATACTCCAATCACGAGGGACCATCTTTGTCATTTTCTCGATATGGAAATAAGGCTGAGCTGATTTTGAGGAGATATGCAGATTAATTATAGGAAAAATGATAATGTATAGCAACTCTCAAAATAATAATCGAAAAATGTATATTTTTTATATATTTATTATATGTATGTATATATATATATATATATATATTGTATGTTATATTCAAAAATTATACAAATTTTATATACTTTTTCGGCTACTAAATGTAAATAATTTCTGACACGGGCTAAAAGTGTAAGAAGCCCTAGATTATAGTACGTGATAAGTTGGGCCTCCAGGTTTGGGTTTGCATCAATCAAGCAATTTGGACTGGGCCGCACTATGTGGGTTTTGTTTGCTTAGAGCAGTAAGTAGTGGGCCTAGCTAAAAGGCCCAGCAAGCATATTGGTGGGGAGAGACATTCCCTTCCCTCCTGCGAGTAAAATCAAAGGAAGATGGAGGTGGACATCCCCGCCGACGTCCCCTGCTCTTCCACCGCCGTCAATTCCGTCATTCGCATGGGCACCGTAAGCCACTGTTTTTGTTTCCCTAATTTGTTATCCAAATGTTCTTAAGCACTTATTAGGATCTTTACTCTACGTGGGACTATACTGCAGGCCGGCTTAATCTGGGGTTCCTGTTCTGGTCCATACGAAGCCAACAAATTAGGTGCTATACTTAGTTTTTTATGTATAATTCATTCGATGTTGATGATAAGATCAAACCTTTTGTGTATTTTTCTTATTCTGCTTTACTCCTATACTACGAACAGGTCTTGCTGGCATTCATCGAGCTTCTTTTATTGTAAGTTGCTCATTGCAATCCCTTTCCTGTGCTTTTTTTGTTTGGTTTAGTTATAATTTGATTGTCTTCTGTGCTTTTACTCTATATGCAGGCTAAGTCAGTTGGTCGGTTTGGCTTTCAGTGGGGTAATCACATTGACTTTCCCCAATCTAATTTACATTAACCAAATATTTTCCCGACATGTCACCTTCTATGTTAATCTAGATTTAAGTTATATACACTGGCAGTGAAAAGTACAGAGTGCTGGTTATCTTACACGCCAACTATACTAATCGTCTATATTAAGCATGAGTTTTGGTGATATGTAAAATAAGATAAAGTAAGGTAAATAACATACTACTACACTGAAATATAGACCAATCAGCAGAGCTTTGTATTTTTGGTGGCGCACATTTTGATCTGTGATATTAAAGTCAATTATTTGTCGGTCGGAGCCCTATTACTTGAGGAAAGGCTTAGATGCGACCTTTTCAATTTAGAAGCTTATGGTGTATCATAAGAACATCCATATCTGAAAACACCACACAATCTGAACCATAACCTGAGAAACTGTGGAGAAATAAGCTAGTTTGTATTATATTTCAAATTGATAGTTATCTGTACATGTTTCATGACTCAACACAGCGTAATAAGAAATGCGACAAATATAATGAGCAGAATTACAATCACTGACATGGACTATGCTACCCTAGACTACTTCTATAAAAGTCTGTTTAGAATGAAACTATCACCATTTTGTGTGCTTCTTGTTATAATGTTATGTAAACTTAAACTTGGTTTATTGCAAAGGTGTACCAAATGCTCATTGTCAGACTTGATTGTGTCCAATTAATCAGTCCTAAGTGTTTAATGTTTTATGCTCTTTTTACTATGTTTTCTCTTGGATAATGTCATGGTTGGTTTAGATATGTCATTATCATCTGATAAGCATCCATCTTTCTTTTATAGGACTGTTTGCTGCAATATTTTCTTCCACTCGCTGTGGGCTTCAGAGATATAGAAGACGAAATGATTGGGTCAGTTTGTAAACATATACCCTCTCATACCTTATCAAAAAAAAATATATATATACCCTCTCAGATCACAGCATTAATTTGGACGCTCCTTTATTGACCCACTTGTGGATGTACATGTAAAATATGCTACTATTGTTTAACTAAGAGAATTTATATGGAAATGTTGCTTCCACTAATTTTTCCAAATTTTCTGTTATATTAAACCATATCAGGTTGTTTGTTTGGGGCTAACAGTTGGTAGGCATAGTTAATAAGCACATCAAGGTCTACTTTTATGAATCTCGATGCGAAAGTAGGAATGTATGTTTTTCTCCATCGTCAAGTTATAGTAATCATGCAATATATGTGAAATTGAGATAAATTTTGTTTTTCATTTCTTTGTAGTGCGTAATATAGATTTAGAAAAGAGACTACCACAGTGTTGTGAAGAGCGTGAAGTGAGGAAAAGCGACAAGTCCCTTTTCGCTTAAAGCGAGAAGTGAAGCGCTCGCTTTTTTGAAGTGAAGCGGAATTTTAAAAAATATTAAAATAAATACTGCATAAACAATGAAGAAGAAGAAGAAGAAGAGGAGAATGACAATAAAACAAATACTGCATAGACAACTAAGAATAAATGATATGAAAAAAATGGTAGTAAGTATGCCAAAAATTGGCAGTATAACTGAAACGAAAAATGGGCAGCATTTCGCTGCAATTTATCACTGAAACAGTGAAAGAAAATGAAGAACAAGAAGAGGAGAATGTGAAAAAGAAGAACTGAAGGGTAAAAAAATTTCGCCAGTATTTTACTGCTATTTGGACACTGAAACAGTGATAGAAAAAGAAAAGAAAAAGGAGGAGGAGGAGGAGGAAGAAATCACATGGGACCAAACTTGATGATCTTGAAGTTAAAAAAAGAGAGCCTTTTTAATTAATTAACGTTGGCAGCCCAGTTATAAAGAGAAGCGCTCGCTTTTGTCGCTTTGTTCGCTTCCTCGCTTTTTCAAGGGAAGCGATTGCTTTTGTGTACCTGGTACGCTTCAGATCAGAGAAGCGCCAGGTGCCTCGCTTCGCATCGCTTCTCGCTTCAAGCGAGGAAGCGGTCGCTTTTAACAACGCTGGCTACAGTTTTTAGTTACCGTTTCATATTGTTAGAGTCCAATATGATATCGTGATATCTCAGAATTTTAGATAGCTAAGTAAGATTGTATGATCTCTGAACCTTTTTCTATATAAGTGACCAATTGGAGGTAATGCTTTTGCAGCCAATATAAGAGCAACTGAAACAATCCCCTTTTGCTAGATGAAATTAACATTTAACAAAATCAGAAATCATGAAAATTGCATATTCTTTTGGATGTTCTAATTAAAGAATAATAAACATGCACTGATCCAAAAGAATCGACATTTGCTTGGACTACATGATGCGTTTAAACTTTTCTCACAGTACCTTTTTCACTTTAGTACTAATTGTATTCGTGTTAACGGTAAGCCATGGGTATTACTATCAACTAAAGTTATAAGATCGCTTTTACTTTTGCAGGTTAATGTTTTGACTGCTGGTGTAGTAGCAGGGGCTGCTTTTGGTGCAGGCACCCGAAACTGGAAGCAGGTTGCTGGAGCAACAGGTCTTGTGTGTCTCTTGTGTCATGTTGCTGAGGACTCCAGATAAAATTTCTCTGATTTGCTTAGAAGGGACTAAAATACACTGCAGTAGTGCTGGAAATTGATGGACCCTTGTCTCCATCCATACCAGTCTGTGCCATACTAACTACATCATGTTGATTGAGGAAGCATGGCACAGTGCATGCTTCACGGAATGGAAAACGAAATTCAGCTAATTGAAGTTCATACATGATTTTTTTTTTTTTTTTTTTTTTTTTTTTTTTTTTTTTGTCAATTTCATAGGCCACGAGTTTTAGGGAAACAAACCTAACATATGAATTACAAAGCAAGTATATCTTTATCGTTTTCACTTTAAATGGCCCCTAATCCCTATAGGACAATCATAATCCTCTAGGGGACTGTTGCTTGGAGTTGATCATAGGTTGGTTTATCTACATGTTTTTGAATTACACTATGTTATTTGGAGTAAAATCTAGATATGGAACTTGCTGAATCTCTTTTAAAATCCTTTTCATCTTCCTCTCAATTTCATGGATGATTGTATAGTTACCTTAGCTAAGTTGTGCTGACATGAGACAAGCTATTCTTCTCTCCTACTATTTGATTTTTAGTCTTGTGTTTAATGCATTTTCGATTTGATTTGATCTTTTTGTCTAAGTAGACGATAATGGACGTGAAACAATTAAACAAATACTTTATTCTCTTTGTATTCGTGTTGCATACCGTCTACCTTTTAGACTACCCTGTCCCGTTTCATTCTTATACTTCCTCAATGATACCTCTACTATTTTTTATCCAAATTCCATGAAAGTAATTGGTCTGTCGTAAATCATTTTACAAAACACAAGAATAATTGCAATTTTGGTCTTTGAATTACTAATTTATATGGTCTTTTGTTCCTAACTTTAGTCCTTAAGAGAAAGGATAAAAGAAATAAGAAACGAACAACGAAGAAAAGGATGAAGAAGATAGGTACATTTAGAAAGCAAAAATAAAAAATAAAAAAAATACACTTGAAAATAACACCAATACCACATCGCTGCATTTTTAAAGCTCAAATGCGTCTCTGAGATAGTCAATTCCTCTCAATGTCATTTCTAATCCAGGAGAGGGGGTAATAAATAGAAAAAATTGAAGATTAAGGGGTAAAGAAAAACCCAATGATTTAGGTATGTAGGTTACAAATATTGACAACTTTAGGAGGTTTTATACATTAACCCAAAAGAAAAAGTTTTGCAAGAGGAACTGGACGGGAAAAAGCTGTTATGAAATGTAGTTTTAAAGGTTTATTTATTACGCTTAGGCCCCCGTAGTTTCCCTATTTTCTTAATTCCTGTTGGAACTATAAGGCGGTACTCCCGTTTTGAGCTCCTATTTCAATAAATATTCTCCATATTATTTTAGGAAAATGGTAATAAAATTATCATAATAAAGTAATCTGTAAGCATGGTATGTTATTGTGAAAAAACTGGAATAAACAGTCTTCCCTTTCATTTAGCAAATTCACTTCCAATAAAATCTTTTTCTAATTTACTACGAGTAACGCTTTAGTGATTACAAAAACTTTATAATAGAGAGATTTAAGGGTATGTCATGATTCAGAAGTTGTAGTTTCTGCGAAGCTTTTGGTTAAGTTTTACTTTAGTTTTTTTTTTTTTTTTTTTTTTTTTTTTTTTTTTTTATAATAATAAAAATTACTAGTAGTATTTTTAAAGTCTTTACGAAAACTGGCTCGAAGCTCGCCATTGGGTGGACACACATGTGGGTCTTAGTTCGATGAGATTTACTCGCCGAGTGACCTAATTGTGCATCCTAAAAACACTCAACACTTGTCTAATGGTCGAATTGTGTACCCTAAGAACTCAACAATCAGGACTTGTCTAGTGGCCAAATTGTGTTATACTCTAATAACACTCAACTCTCGAGGCTCGTCTAGCAATTCTTATGAAAATCATGTTCCACGGGACGATAATTTATAGAAGTTGGGAAATAATGACAGAAATATGTAAAACATCAGCAGAAAATTGAGCACAATTCAGCCTTCCGGATTTGTAAAGCTATGTTAAGGCTTGCTCACTGCCAAATAAACTACTCTTTAAAATAGTACGGGAGGGAGAATGTGATAAGAAAAAAGAATATAACTTTTTAACGAATTCAAATACATACATCGTATCAGGTCGAGATAATCAAGCTTTAATAAAGATGGATTATCAAACTCAATCTTACAACGAGATGAATTATATGTATAGAGTTGATGAAAGTCTAAACATGGAGTATTAAGTATCACGCAAATCATATAATCACTCAGCTGATTTAATAAAATTTTGAAGTACAATATCAAATGTTGTACATGTTTAGTGTACTTATTAAATGAGGATTTCATAGCAGTTAAAGTAGAAGAAAGACGGACGGTATTTTTAAGTAAATGTTTAAAACATTAAGGGGTCAAATGATCATAACAGAAAATATTAAGGGGTAGAGGATGTAATTTCCAAAAATTTGAGGTGAACGGAGCGTGAACTCTTTTCATAACCGTATAACTACCCCAGTCTTCTTCCATTGAACTTCATTCAGTATTGAGAAGCTTCCATTCCATACATTTCAACTTCAACTTCGTTTTTCTCCATCGCTGAAAATGAGCAGTTCAGAGAACGTGTTTGCAGAGGTGATTGAAGTTGCAAAGTTCATTGATGAATTTCGCGGTCACTACTTTGCCCTGCCAAGCTACCAGGAAAAAATCGACTTATTGAAGGACCAAATCGAACACGCTCTCGAAAAACTCGACGCAATTCCAATAGGTAACCGAATTCTTAGAAGAATGCATTGAATTCCGAGTTTCTAAATTCAGATGCATGCAATGAATTCTGTTTTAACACGATACGATTAGTATTATGGTCTGAATCATATATGTCTGTATGTTGAATTCTTAGAAAAGAGGGAATCGCAAGATGAGGCAGCAATGTACTTGTATTTGAGAGGAAAACTACTGGATGTATCTCCTGCTTATAATCAGGAAGCAGAACGTCTTCTGACGGATGCTGTGAGTTAAAATTATTTCTATGCATGCTACTATTTTTGTTTTTCCGATTTCTTTTGTTTCTTATCTATCGGTGGATTTCTGTTATAGGTTAAGTTGAATTCCTCTGTGGTGGATGCGTGGATATGCCTAGGAACTTGTGTTTGGAAGAGAGGAGATCTGGATAAAGCTAAAAGTTGCTTCAACTCTGGCCTTGAGCAGGTGCCGTCATTTTATGCATGCTGCTTAATTCTTGAGTTTTAAGTTTCTTTACTTTCCAAAATTTCTGAAGTAATGGATTTAATTGTATTTATTGTCTTCAGGATCCGAATAATAAGCAACTATTACTTCAATTATCAGTGCTTGAAAGAAGACAGTGCATAGGCGCAACAGGTAAATATTTTAAATCTGTAGCTACAAGCAATAAGAACACGTAGCATTTTGATTTTGATACCAGCAAGAATCTATAGTAACTGTATTCACATTTTTAACCTTAATTTCTGGATTAGATCTGTAATAATTGTACTGACATTTTTTCTAAGTTCCCAATGCTATTTCTGATTACGCTATTTCTGATTACCTATTGTAATATTCTACTTTTCAGAGGTTGAGAATCCAGTAGAAATCATTAACGACTGTATCAAACATGTCAAGGAAGCAATCGCTCTGGATATCCAGGATGGAATATCATGGTGTAAGACTGCTTTTTTGTACTGAGACCCCCTCTACTTGCCATATACTATGCTATAATTTAGAACTTTGTACAAGACTGAAAAATTGAAGGAACAGAAACTACCTATGTTCTTGAATATGAACATAAAAAGCATCATAAAACTTGTACTTGTCTTGCAAATTGCATGTTATATTTCACTTATAAGCACAGTTATTTTGGTGTCCTGCTATGTGAAATCAGAAGATTGATTATCCATTACCAAAATTTGGTTACATCCAAACTCGGGTTTCTTTAATGATCTTTCATCTTTTCTGGCAGACATCCTAGGAAACTCATGTCTCACTGCCTATTTTGTGACGGGATGTTGGGACATTAATATGCTTCTGCAGTCACTAAAAGCATACAAGAATGCTGTGAGTATGCATCTCGCCAATTTACCTTGGCATTAAAGCTTCCCCACAATATGCCTACTCCGTCGTCTCCCTTTTATCATTTTCCTCATGGGACATTCTGCAGTCTCTCTTCTCATTTTTCTCATGAGCTTCATATTTGTTTATTGACTTCATAACATTTAAGGTTGTTTTGCAGTTTTAGGTCTACATATTTTACTCATAGCCTCCTCTAATTTTGTGTTTTGTTTCAGCTGAAAGATGAGAGGATGAAGATAAGTTCTCATATGTGTTATAACTGCGCGATGGTAAGGCTATTAGCCAATTCTCGTTCTGAATTGTTCTAGCACATAAATTATGTGTATCTGAGATTTTCTTGGAGGTTCGTGGAAGCATGTAAGGAAAGGCTTTCTAGATTCACTTTGATTTAATGCAAGATTGATTGTTGCCTGCTAAAAGCAAACTAAATAGCAAAATCTCTTGATTTTCATTCTGCTTTTGCACCTTGAGCATTTTATGCATAGTCAAGAAAGGACGAGACTTTCAAAGAAGGCATCTATTTTCTTCACCAGCACAATTCATGTCTGCTTATATCATGTTGTTTGCACTTTCTTCCTTCTCAAATTTCAATACAATGTTTTGGTGAATCTATGATTTGGTTCTATAGACGTACAAGTATTTTGAGGACTATGAGACGTCCCTTTCTGGATTTGAAGCTGCTGAATTACTGGATCCTGATCTTAATGGTCTAGAGCAAGCATTTAATCTGTATGAGATTCTTGAGGGAATAAACTCTTTCCTTCAGGTAAGTTTATTTAATTGTGGCTATTTCTTATAAACTATTTGCAGTCATATTTTCTTTGTTCAGTTGGGAGACATTAAGAAATTCATGATAGACTGCAATAGAATTCTAAGAGAATTATGTTAAGTCTCAGCAAACAATATCAGCTTAAAAGAGTTGGTTAAGGTGCCATAATCCATGAGATCACACATTTGATTAATCATTGATTTTTCAAAGTCTGAAGCAGTGAAGCTCCCAGTTAGGGAATCTTCCCATTAAAGGATTATAATGACCAATGATCCACGTATATTGTCTGTCACAAGTGTGGAACTCAAGCTTGAGTTATTGCATCATCAGAATTACATGCATATACTGTGGATGTGTTTCACGTACTAACAACATGATATTTGTATCTTGAGATATGCTTTCAAGTGCTGCTCTATATCTGCAAGTTTTGGCTTTGACAACCCTTGACAAGTGTAACCATAGCCAGGAGAAAAAAAAGTATAAGGGAAAAGGGAAATCTACTAAGACACAATAATTAAGTACTACAAAAAGGTTGAAGGTACTAATTCCAAGAAATTCTTCATGCACTGAGTATGTTACGTCCATAAGACAAAGGAGTTTTTCTCTATCAATCAAATCGTCTTACCCACTTAATAAGCTTAATGAGTCCCTATGTAAGAATATACTGACCTTACTGCTGGTCTTCATTTTTTAAAGCAAGAGAAAACAGCAATGATATCTCATGCATTAGATATTGAGTTTGTTTATGTCTACCACTTCTGAGGCCTTTAGCCTCATCTATTATGCATGAGATTATGAAAGATGTAGTTGAATAACTCTATCCTGTCTTTCAGGAACTGAATGGTTCTCCAACATCATCGCTTCCTACTGTTGAATCGCTAGCATCATCACTTGCTTCTGTTGATTGTAAGCTTTATATGCGTCTTAGATAATGTTTTCAAAGCAGGGCGATATTGGATTAAGCTTGTTATCCTTAAATTGGGCAAATACTTTCTTGTAGTGAATCCTACATATGAGAAAGCTACTGTGAACCGCCTAATTGAAGGTCCTAATCTAAGCAAAGCAGTCACAGGAAAAGTTCTGTTTTCAGTTAAGAATCCGAGTGAAATTCCAATGTAAGTTACCTCACCTTAGAAGAATCTACAGCAGTTCATTTGTCACTTTTCTCCTTTCCAGTATTCTCTTCGGAAGTGAAATTTAAGCTACAGAGCTTCCCGACTGCAGCGTTATTTCTTTTTGTCTCAGCTTCTACTCTTCATCTGCAGATACTATGTTGTCTGTGATTCTGACCGCACATGCTTTGTGATTACTGTTTATGGCGTACGCAGCACTGCAGTAAGTGACACCTTTGGTTTAATCTCTGTTACCACATTTGTCTAATTTTGTCTAAGCTGACGAAAAACTGCAATCATTTTTAAGTATACTAGGTAACCATATCTGACAGTTAGTGATCTTCTCTCCTCTACTTTATTTTCTTGGAAGAAAAATATTACGAAGGGAGTTATAATACTACTATGAATACCAGTGAGCTACACACTTTGAATATAATGTACAGTAAATTGGAAGTGTAAATTTTTGCAGACTTCCTCCAGTATTTGCTCCATTAACTAAGAGATTTAGAATGAGATAAGATTGCCATTTGTATCCCACTAAAGTCTCTTTATACTGAAGAACTGATTTTAAATCCTACGTGTCTATCCAACTCTATTCTTGATAAGGTTAATAAATTTGTGACTTCCTTAAATTCTGCTATTTAAGAGTAGCATGGTGCTTATGCAGAATAAAGAGATGATATAAATCATAAAAGGAAAAAGAGAGAAAAGACAAAGAAAAGTTGACTTAACAAAACCTATCTTCTTGTTTGCGAGAGAGCAAAGAGTAGATTAGTATGCATTGAGTAATGAGAACTCCTGTTCGAGTCACTTGCTGATGTTCAGTTCTCAGTTTCCCGTTAGATTTTCATATTATAAGACCCTTAGATTCTTAACATTATAAACTATACTGTTGTCAGATCAAAGAAGAAGATCAGGTCACACTATTGGATCCTTTCTACCATATCTTTGATTTTGAATCGAGAGGAAAGGTAACCTTCGATCATTTTAATCTCTGTTTCTTTTCTATCCATTGCTGCTCTGGTTTTTCTTTACTTCCATACGTCTCAAATATTTGCTCTAATTTGAAAGTTAAATGTAAGCTGCTACAAAAGGCTTTTATTGGTGTGTATGTCAACGTTTCACATGTCAGCTCCATTTTAAATGACCTCCTTTTTTTGTTTTATTTTCTGCTTAATATTTCTTTTTCTCCCCTTCTCGGAGGACACCTCTTACTAGTGGTAATTTTTAATGTTAAAATAGTATAACCAAGTCGGCTAGGATAACTGGATTTGTCTTTGCAGCTACATTTTAGAGAAAAGGCCCAAAATAGTCCTCAAACCAGTCATATTTCTTTCACATGAAGCACTAATAGTCCATATTCTTTAATAAAGTGGTACGCTTTTAGTCTTCATGTTTGATATGAAAAAATGAGTGGTCATTTATTTTTCTATGTTTGATTGGTGAGTGACAAACTTTTTCAGGAATTTTTTTTCTAGTGTTTGTTTAGAGAGTAAAAAATATTTTTTAGAAAATTTTTACGCTACTTTTCTTACCCCCTCCCCCTTATCCCAAATCCCCATGTTTCTAGTACTCCCCTCCTCCCCCAAACCCCAATTATCCAACGTTTTCAAGACTCTATTTTCTTTAAGAATTTAATTATTCTTTTAAAAATTTACACAAAATCAAAAGGACTGATGTGTTACTTTACCTTTTCTCGCAAAAACAACATTGAAATTTGTGTTACACAACTAAAAAGAAAATACTTTTTTGTTGTTGAAATAGAAAGTATTCTTTCTATAACATGAAAAAGTACTCATTTTGTTAAAATGAAAGAAAATATTTTTTCTACATCATAATAAGAATGAGAATTAACCCAAATAGCCGTCTACCTAACTGCTTAAACTAAAAATAGCCGGTGGAGGTATAATATATGTATAATTTATGTATTATATGTGTATAATTATGTATAATAAATGTATAATCTATGTATATGGCTAGAAAATGTAAACAATGGAGACTAAAAGTGTACCACTTTTTAAAAAGTTATGGACTATTAGTGCTTTCGAAAGAAATATGACTAGTTTGAGTTAAACTCCAAAGATACTGGACTATTTTGGGCCTTATCTCCTACATTTTAGATACAGAGTTGGTAGATTTACCCATTTCTACCCAGGCTATACCAACTCTCTTTTCTTCACACTCCTAGTTGCTTCCCCGTCCTGGAAACTTGAACTGTTGGTGCAGTCAAAGGCATACATTTCACAGGCATTGATTGGTAGTTTAGTTCTAATCAACTTTTCTCCTATTGCCAAAACCAGATTGTGGCGACAACAATGATGTTGCCAAGATTTCCACCAATTGAGAATTTGAAAGAAGTGATTGGAACATCGCTGTGCCCTTTTTTCACTGCAATAGACTGCTAACATAACAGTCATTCATGTAATCTTTTGTTTTCTGCATTTGATAGCACTGTATTTTGTAATTGAAAGTACTTTTTCCTTCTCATCTATTCACATGTTATATTTTACTGCAGCACTATCAGTTCAAGTCACTGCGGATGGATTTCCTGGAACAACTTCGTGTGAATGGAGAAATTGTGTCTCCTGAACATGTAATTCATAGATCAATGTACCCCCAACTCAAGGAAGCATAAGGAGTCTGTTCTTCTTTTACATGTGTGTGAGGTAACAAGAATAATGCTGCTGATTGATTCCACTGAGATGGATTTTCATGTAAATAGTGGTCAAGGAAACAAAACTTATCAAATTTGCTGAATGCTCATCAAACTTCTCACTAGTCAAGCAATATGCATTTCAGAGCTGTGGTATTGTCTTTTTCATCTTCGTTTTGATAGTTCGTGTGATCTTGAGTCCTTGTCTAGGCTCTTTAGCTTAGATATGCTGATATGAGATGAGCTTTTCTTCTTTCATATTATTTGTTTGTAGTCTGTGATTGGTGCGTTTCAATTTGAGATGATCTTTTTGTCTATGTAGATGATGCATGCGAAGCAAATGCCTATTCTCTTTGTTGTCTTGTTGTCTTGTTGCATACAATCACGCGAAGCAAATGCCTATTCTCTTTGTTCTCTTGTTGCATACCATCCACCTGTCGGACTTGCAGTTTTGTTACTTTGAATCCTTTCATTCTTGACCTCTCTAAGTAGTGCTTGCTCCAAGAGATTTTAGAAGCCAAATACTATGAGTTAACAGGAAGCAGAGAATGAGGAAAACCCATGAAATAAACCAATACAAGTTATACAAATCAACCCCCTATTTTACTAGTTTAGATCAGGAACTGACATAGCATTTATTTCTGCTCAAACTCCGAGCTAAACTTAAAGACAAGCGCTTCTCTTTGCCCATTTAGTGTTGCCTTAGTAACCAGTTTCTAAGAAGATGATCAGGAAAGCCGATGAATTTGTCAGTCCCATTGGATGAAAAATTGTCAGCTATTTATTTTCATTATATAGGTTCATGTCTACAACAAAATTGTTAAAATGGAATAAATCGAAATACAAAATTGACAGACTTATATGAAGACCTATTAAAATATGTAAAGAACCAAGAGCTCTGACTTCTGCCAAGGACATTTTGCTGTACTGAAAGAACATAAACAACAGGGTCATCTTCTTCTACTGCACTACATTTAGCCCTTTGACCAAAAATAATGTTCCAAAAACCCTATTACGCGGAGGAGACAGAGGAGCTATCTTCTTTGTGGTCACCAAATATACGCTGCCTAAAGTCTTGTACCATCAGAGGTAGACCTTTCCTAAGAGGCACCTTTGGTTCCCAACCAAGCAATTCTTTAGCCTTTGAGATATCAGGTTTCCTCTTGTGTGGATCATCTGCTGTGTTGGGTCTGAACTCAATCTGCGCATTTGGATCAATGGTTTCCTGGACCACCTGCAACATGAATGACAAATATTACAAAATTCTGTTGCATTCAATCAATAGTAATGCAGAGTTATAGCCTCCAGGTTAGAGAAATTCTGATTGGATTGAAATAACGACTTCAGAAAGGAAACGATTGAATCTGTAAAATCAAAGACTTGACAAGAGAAGAAAAAAGTATGTCCATGTATCAATTACTTACCCCTGCAAGTTCAAGCATTGTGAATTCACCAGGATTTCCTAGGTTGAAAGGTCCCACATGTTCTCCTTCCATCAAGCGCATTAGGCCCTCAACCTTTCAGAAACAACAAAAATCAAACGCCATTATTTCTTTGTTATATACTTATCTTTGAAAGATAAGAATCACAAATCAATTACTAGCTTAATTAGAGGGTTGTGCTTCACAAACCTTCAGGACCGATTACAATTAGTTCTACAAGTTTTCTTATCATGTGGTTCGTACGAGGCATAATCCATTTCACTGGTTTCTATCTGTATTACAGAAAGGGCTTTGCACATTGACAAATTGAACAGCACCAGCTATTCACGCAAACAAGTTTGTTTTAGTGCAAGACTGTCGGTGCAAAAAACATGAAGTTCGATCAACGAAACTCATGTTTTCTTTTCAAGTCCGCATTGCAGTAGCAAATCAATGTGGTGGAATATGGTAAAATTGTGAAAGTAGAAACAAGACTGCAATAAAAGGTTGAAAGGAGAAAAAAAAAGGTCCTAGCTGTCTATGACAAAAGAAATGCCATACCAGGTCTGAAACAAATTGGAAACTTCTTGTTTGCTTTCCATCACCATAAACTGTTAAAGGCTCCTTCCTCAAGGCCTGTATTGTAATATAAAACGATGTAGGTGATTTATTTATAACCTCTTTTTTTTAATTAAAAGTGGTGGGAGGCAAAACTTTGGGCATGTGAAAAAGGTTCACCTGAGCAACAAAGTTGCTAACAACACGACCATCATCGATGCACATACGAGGTCCATAGGTGTTGAAGATCCTAGCTATCCTCACCTTTCAACCAATAGTGTATAGCCATTAATTAATAATATGATAGTATGCTTTTGAAAAAGTAAAGTGATACTTTCTTTTTCCTTTTCCTTTTGAGATAAAAGGAAGTATACGAATATTTTGAATATTTTCCATATAAATAAGAGATACCTCGACGCCAGCACCTCTGTGATAGTCCATGGTCAACGTTTCAGCTGTACGCTTCCCCTCATCGTAGCAACTTCTCACACCTAACAATACATGACAAATCTCAACATTTTTACCGTTTTACATTGAAAACAACAAAAGAGAGAAGCCAGATCATTACCCTATTCGCATTTACAAAATACGGCACACCCTCCTCTAATAAATTTGGTTTCTTTTGCCAATTACCATTACAAAATATATGTATAAGTACTATTAGTATTTAATAGAGACAAATAAAAAAGTACTCCTTTGGTGAGACTTATAGAAGACTGACCAATGGGATTAACATTGCCCCAGTAAGTCTCCTTTTGTGGATGTTGCAAAGGATCACCGTAAACTTCGCTGGTGCTCGTTAGCAAAAAACGAGCACCCACTCTCTTCGCCAATCCAAGCATGTTCAGTGTCCCCACAACATTTGTCTTGTGAACAGCTAGAATCAAGGAATCCAACCTTTCTAATTTACCAAATAAATACGTATATAAACACAGAAGAAGAATATAATAATGGAATTAAATAGAAACCAAAAAATATGAATAATGAAGAAAAGGATATAATGGTCTTGACGGGGTTATGCTTATAGTGAACAGGAGAGGCAGGGCAAGCGAGGTGGTAGATCTGGTCAACCTCCACCAACAATGGCTCCACCACATCGTGCCTTATGAGCTCGAACCTCGGGTTCCCAAAGTGGTGCATCACGTTCTCCTTCCGCCCCGTGAAGAAATTATCAACGACGATCACGCTGTCACCTCTTGCGATCAGACGGTCCACCAGATGGCTGCCGACGAACCCAGCCCCACCGGTCACCAGGATCCTCAACCCTTTACGCTGCAAACCCAACGGGATTTTCCCGCCAGAATGCAACGACCCGAGCCCGGCCCGGTTCTGGTAGATGATCCGATGAGCACGGGCAATGCTGTGAGAATGAGTTGACTCGGAGGGCAAGTGCGAATCGTAGATCGCGTTGTTTATGTAACTGTAACTGCCCTGACCGGACGGGGCACGTGACGAGGGTAACATAGCGAAGATAAGAGAAGCGATGGCAATGCCTGCAAAGAGGAAGACGAGGCGTTTCTCTTTGAGCATGTAATGTACAGGTCGAATTACGTTTTGCCATGGCTTCCGTGGTTTGGGGGTGTATGCGTTGATTATATGGTGAGTTTCCTGTCCTCTGAAGAACAATTCAGAAGCCATGGCTATGGCGTCCTCCTCTCTCCCTCAGCTCCTACGTTTTTCTTAGAGAGAAGAAAATTAAGGAAGAGGGGAGAGGAGGGGGAAATATAGTTTGGTCGTGTATAGGAGGAGCTTGAGTTGAATTGAAATTAGTGTTGAAAGAGAATAATATTAGGTGGTGAGAGGTCTCTGGCGCGTTTTGGGCTTATTTTTATAGGTCTAGATACAGTCCTATGGTTTCTCTTAGAACCGTTTGATTTAGAAAAGTTCGTTAGTAATAAAAGACATCTTGTTCCTATCGTATCCCATGAAAAAGTGTACTTTGATAGAATAAAAAAATGTATATTGTCACCATACAAGTTAAAAACAAACTAGTATAAATTTATTCATATTGTGAATAAGAATTTACAATCAAAACTGCAATATCATGAGTACAAAGTTGGTTAAAAAAAAACATGTTACTTCCGTTGGATCCATCTCTTTTCATGTTAAATTGGTTAAGCACCGATGAATTTTGAAAACAAGATTTGGTTTTCAATTAAACTAATATCTATGGAGAAGCCAGTAATACTAAACAACCTAATTATATGTGTGTGCGCGCTTACTAGTTTTTGTCAAAAACCAAAGATATTTATCAACAGTTAACACTACCTAAAAGCAGTATTAGACGATAAAAAAAGTGCTAAGGCATTTGGTAAATAATTTTCTACTTTGGCTAAGAGTCGAAGATCCTAAAACAAAACAAAACAAAAACAAAAAGAAAAGGAGAGACAAACAAACCGTCAGCACTATAGTTGGGTCCAATTTAAATAGAATAAAAAGGTGCATACCCACAAATTAAGGCAGGGGAGGGTATGTCTAATTCATTACCGTTCATAACAAGTGATTTTTTAGTTTTTTTATGGTCCAAAATATTGATTTTTTTAAGCTTTCGAAAATGAATTAATAATATTTTTTTCTATGTTGCCCTTGAAGTAAATAGTGTTGAAGTATGTGTTAAGAGTATTTATGTGAAAAGATAGTAAAAATTATTATGGTCAATTTCATTACTAATTAATGTTAAAAGGTAAATTTTTTTAATATATGCGAAAACAATAAAGAAATCACTTATTATGCATCGAGAAGAGTAATAGTTTATTGTGTGACTAATTTTTGCCGGTGGTAGTGTGTTGCCTCCCCCACCACTCCTCCCCCACAAAAAAGTACTCCTTAAAGTAGGAAGGTCATAAGAAGGAAAGTGCGGAAAACTTCACCAATTTTGTAAGAAAATAGACCTTTAGCTATTTTGTAATCTAACTATTGGAGCATATTGTAAGCAACACTTTTCTGTTGTCAAAATTTTTGTTAAGGAAGGTTAAAATATATAAAAGTAAACATATCAGGAAATTAAGGGAAGTCAATACATAATATATATACATATAATTTTATTTACTTATCCGTGTAATTTTTCTGACAAAAGGATATCATTTGACGCCCATTCCTATAAGGTGCATTAATATGGTATACGCCAAGGCTACAAACCTAACATGCTCTTTGTTAAATATTTTCACAAATCATATGGATCTTAACTCTGACATAAAATGTTTGCTAACTTGAAGCTACGGTTTCAAAAAATTAATAATTATAGTTTTTTCTTTTACATCTTATTATCACATAGGAGTTTATCTATCATGAGTTATGGAAAAAGGAAATAAAAGTAATGAAGAGAAGTTATCAAGAAATTGTAAACCACCTTCGTCACTTGCCTTTCTAACACTAATAAAGAGGAAAAACAAAAAATATACTACATACTATTAAGAGCCCGTTTGGACATAAAAAAAAATTTCACTTTTTTTCTAAAAAATTTCAGTTTTCTTGGAAATCAGTGTTTGTCCATGAAATTTTTAATTTTCACTTGAAGATGAATTTTAGAATTTTTCGAAAATTTGAAAAATTTCAAAAAGCTGTTTTCCAAAATTTTCACTCAAATCACTAACAAAACTTCAAAAACAACCCAAAATAATATTCATCTCCAAACACAACTCTAATTTTCAAATATCATTAAAAAAAAAAATCACTTTTTTTGGAATTTTACAATTCTTATGTCCAAACGTCCATTAATTCTCTTTTTATGCGTTTGAGGTAATGAGAGTTTGACCAGAGCTGAATTGAACAACACTTAGCCATAATAATCTGCATTATTAGAAAAGAAGTGGGAGAGTGATATGTGACCTGTAATTACCTAACAGCAGGAGGCTTAGGAAGGCCTGTCCTCCTCCATGGAAATCCGAAAGTTACTTCAGAACAAAGGCCAAAATACGGTGGAAAAAAGAATATATAAACGTCTTAAGAGTGATTTGATCGTTCACTTTAAATTCTTGAAAACTCATAAAGCTCATACGTCACTATCCCTTCCCCATTCATATTATTACTAGTAAAGAATAGTCCATGTTGTGCATGGGTCCAATAATATTATGTTTAAGTTGTTGCTAATTAGTATGTATAATTTTTTTTCTTAATATGCATTGATAATATAAAATGTGACTTACAAGTGTTATTTGACTAAATTATCCTTTATATTATCGTAGATTACTCTTTGTATATCCTCATATTTTATGGATCATTTATTGGATCAAGGATAGATATGAAAAAAAAAATTAATTAATGCCTTTTTGATTTCAAAGCCATAATTACTTATGCCAAATTAATTTAGCTAAAATAAAACTTATTGTTGATCATAGAGACGTTCATGAAAGCCGCTAAATGTACTTATTTACCCGAAAAACAGATAAAATTAAATTTGTACGCAGTTCTAAGGATACGTGGTATAAATTAATATAAATTGGGAAAGATAAATAAGTATGTACTGAAATTAGTTATAAAATAGATGAATGCAAACCAGATGAATCAGTTAGCCCTAAGCCTTCAAATTTAATCACCTCCAAATTGGGTGAAGAACGATTGATAGAAGAAACAATATGACCAAAAATACCAAAAACCAAAGAGAAATAGTATTAGCACTGTTCTCTGTTTATACTAGAATAAATGTGTGTCTGAATCCGTGAATGAATCAAATTGATCCCCTATATCAATGATAACCTACTCTTAATGTAGTGGAGGAATCCTACTTTGGATATAATTAAAAATTTATAGTGGGGATCCCATGACAGATTAATTAATTGGTTATTCCTTAATTTCTGCTGAGATCCTCTCCCCAAATGCGGCCATAACGACTCTTTTGTTCCTTGGTTCGAGCCCGAACTCGGCCGCTCTCAATCGTGATCGACCTCTATTCACTCGACCTCTATCTGGGCTCGTTCTCGGTCTTGGCCGATTTTGGTCTCGATTGGTCTCTATCTGGGCTCGATATCGATCTTGGCTGAAACTGACCTTGGTTGGTTTCTAGGGCTCGAATTCAGTATCCCGACTTCACATCATAGCTCGATATTACAATGACGAACCCCTGTCCATCATCCCCCAGTCTCGATTAGTCAGACGAAGGACAAACTCGGTTTTGACCGTGTACAGATAGTCCCCTCATTTCTCGGAAAGAATGTGGCGAGAAACGATATAATTTTTCAACCTCTGACTAGATACACACTGACATCTGCATTGAGCCCGATTGTGACGTATGTGACAAATGTCCCGTCAGTTTAGTTACCAAGGCATTAAATGCGCGTCAGTCGATGGTCGGCCACTGCCAATTCTGAACCGTCATTGTGAAACCTATAAATAGCCCCCCTTCCTTATTATTTTAAACTTTTACCTTCAACTCTTCTCATTCCAACCTTCACAGTTCTTCGCCTTCTTCAAAGTTCTCTATTTCCGGGTTCTATAAATTTCTTTGCTTATTCTTCACCAAATACCAAAATATTTCAATTACCCATCTTTTTTGTTCTTGAAAATTTAGATGGCCAAGATATCTAAAACTGTTCCTCAGAAAGAGGTTGCTTCCTCATCTCGGCCGGTCAGTGAGAAACCAGTGGTGGAGCCACGCCTTGAAGAACTTGTTCCCGGTGTGTGTGTTATTGATTCTAACTTTAAGGTCGATAAACCCTCTTCGATTGTCGGTCGATGCGAGAGTCTCCTTGATTTGGTGAAGAAAGATTGTAATTGGATAAACAAAGAGGTTATGATACCGGCACCAGAGGAAGCGATCACTACCTACGAGGAAGGGTATCTAAGTGTTTACACTTATCCTTTCACGCTTGGTCCCCTCGATCCAGTCGTCATCGATTTTTGCAAGAAATACCAGGTGACCCTCGGCCAAATTCATCCTTCTTTCTGGAGGATCGTGATCTTGTTCTATTTCTTTGTGAGCAAAATCAATGGGCTTCCCTTCACCCTCGACCACCTCATAAGATTATATAGCCCTCGACTTTACCGAGGTGGGCTGATAAAGCTTCAACGTCGTGCCACCAAGGTGTTCACCTCGAGTATAGATGAAGACAAGGATCAGGGCTGGATGGGTCGGTTTGTTCGAGTGAAGACCTCGGACCTGATCCCGGCAGAGAGCATGCCATTTCCTGAGAAATGGAATATGAAACGTAAGTGTGATCGTGTTTTAAATTTCTGTTTGTTGTTTTACTTCTTCATCCTTTCTTATTAGTGTCTTTTTTGATGCAGCTGCTGCTTGGATGCTAGGTGCGATTCCCCACCTCGAGAACTGGGTTAAAAGCCTGGTTTCGACGTCAACATTTGCCGAGCGCTCATGGCGCGATTTATCGAAGGGTCGGTGGGAAGCTCGTACTCATGGTAAACTTTCATCTTGGCTTACCGATTCACTTATCGTTCGAGGTGACATGTTTATCCGAAGCATGAGTTTACTTATCTTCTCCCTTTGCAGGTCTCGGGAAGGATGCGGTCATGAGACCCCCGTCAGGAGATGAAGAAGCTTTGCAGCCTGTCTCAAAACCGGTGAAGATGATTAAGAGGAAAAGGGCCTCGGACTCCGAGGATCAAAAACCCAAGAAGAGAGCGACCCGTAAACCCAAAGGGATCATAATCCCACTGACTATGGAGTCGGTCCTGCGTCTAAGGGATGAAGAATAAGAAGAAGGAGGTAACTCTGGGCTGGTGGCCCGTGCACTAGCTGGCACCGATATTCAAAAAATTTTGGTACCGGCGGTGGTTGATATTGCTCCATCCAGGCTTGATGAGGAGGAGACTTCGACCCAAGTTCCCGAGCCGAAGAAGACTGAGGATGTTTTACCTTGGGGCAAATAAATCGTCGAAGAGGCGGTGGATGCCTGTGCAGAAAATGAGCTTGAGGCTCCCCAAGATGGAGATTGCACCCCAAAAAAACCTTCCCAGGACAATAGAGATCGGAGATTCCCGCTCGTTTCCTCGATTTTTGCAATCGATCATACGTGACGCCCAGGCCGTGGAGATTTATCATGGGGAGGGAGCCTATGGAGAGGAGGATCCTCTCCGTGGTTATTTCATTGGAGTAGAAGATGCTACCGATCTGAGTGATTTGGAGGCTCTAAAGAAGAGCTCGGACGAGGTGGGAGTTCCCTGTCTTTTCAACGAAGCTCAACAGACCCTGAATCGGGTAAGTTCATTTTCTCTTTGTCAATTTTCATACTTATATTTTCTTTCCTTGTCTAATTCCTTCCTTCTATTTTTGTAGGCTTATGCACTTTATCACGAAGCCTTCTTCTGATCCCGGGGGGAGCTGAACAGGTATGAAGCCGAAAATCGAAGGCTTACTGAGGAGAAATGACTTCAAGCTTCTCATCGAGCAGAGGGAAGAAGAAGCAAAAGGACTTCAGGCCGAGTTAGAAGCGGCTCAGAAAGAACAAACCGATTTGTCCGAGCAGGTAAAAAGAATCTTTGAAGTTAATGATACTGACTCGGGTGCAATGGCTAATAGTTCGGTCCCACAGGTTCAACAAAAGCTTGATGTTATCAGGTAGCTTCGTGTTGAAGTGGGCGTAGTGAAAGTGGAGGCCGAGGAGTGGAAAAGGAACATAGATTGCCTTGCCTCAGAAAAGGAGGCCGCCCGAGCTCAACTGGCTTCGGCTGAGACCCAACTCCGAAGTTTGAAAGAGAAAGCCTCGGTGCAAGCCAAGAAAATTGGGGAGTTCCAGTCTCGGTTGGGTTCAGTAACTTCTGATCGAGAGAGACTGGCCATAGAGCTTGCAGCGGCCAAATCGGAGGTCGAGATAACCATGGCTAATGTTGATGCCATAGTGGCCGTCTACCGGTCTGATGCTGAAGTTGCTCAGGTTCGAGCAAAGGAGGTTGCTGAGGCTGCTCAGGCTCGAGAAAACTGGGTTGCCGAGCATGCTAAATGCCAATCTCGGAGGGAGACTCTAGAGAAGATCCACACTCGTGGTTTTGATCTTACAGCCGAGATCGAGAATGCTAAGGAGCTTGAAGCCGAAGCGAGAGTGTTGGCCTTTCCTGATGATGATGATACCGGGAGTATGAGCGGATCTGAA